TCGCGACGCGAGCACTTCTGGGTCTGGGCCGCCGCACGGCCTGGGCACCGCCGAAGCGCCAGGCGCCTGGCAGCCGAGGAGCAGCACCGACAGGATGCAGCTCTGGATCCTGGCCTCTGGCTCCTCGCTCCTCCTCTTCTCCTCCTCCTCCTCCTCCTAGCTCCTCGCAGCTCCTCCTCCTCGTCCTCCTCCTCCGCCTCCTCCTCCTCCTCCTCGCTGCTCCTAGCTCCTCGCTCCTCCTCCTCCTCCTCCTCCTCCTCCTCCTCCTCCTCCTCATCCTCTTCCTCCTCATCCTCCGCCTCCTTCTCCTCCTCCTAGCTCCTTCTCCTCCTCCCTCCTCCTCCTCTTCCTCCTCCTCCTCCTTTTCCTGCCTCCTCCTCCCTCCTCCCTAGGGCGCCAAGCGGCCCCTCGCGGTGGGCGGCCGGCTTGGCCCCTCAGGCGTCGCTGAGGGCGGCCTCGACGCCCCGGGCGACCAGCCCGGTGACGTAGCCCACGCCCCCGGCGACCTGCGCAGGCCGCCGACGCCAGGATCTCTGGCCGTCATGCTTCCCAACTTCTCTCGGAGGGACACGTGGCCACACGCAAGCATAACATACACATGCACACGTACTCACACCAACACAGCCACAATCACAAACACAACCACGACCAAAAACACACGCGCGCAGACAAACGCGTTGACTTCACATGCGGGACGTGCGGGGGGCACGCGCTGGATTCACATGCGGATGCCTGAACGCACGAGGGCCGAGCGCTGGAACGACGCGTGGCCACACGGGTGTCCACCAGCTCTCTCCCAGACCAGCCACGGCACTGCCTTTGCCAAGCCCCCCCTCCACGCCACCCCGCCCTGTAGCCCGTTCTAGCGTCCCCAAGCACGCCGAGGGCATTGAACTCCGGCTCCTAGACTGATGAGATAAATTGAATTCTTTCCCAAGCAGCACTTGGCACTTAGGGCGTCTTGCCTTTTTTTGCAACTGGGCCTGCGGGGCTCTTGCCACTATAGCAAGTGAGCCTGCGGGCCGGTCCGGTCGCCATGCGGCCGCCGTCGCCGCCTCGTCGCCGCCCGCCGCCCCTCGCCGCTGGCATCGCATTGCTTCGCATTCACTGAATCACACAAATTCTCCTTTCAAAAAAAAAAACAGACTCTACCCCCCCCCCCGGCGTTATCGCTACCCCTTTCAGGTTTGTAAATCGTATACGATTATGAACACATGTCCATCCTAATATGAAATCACAATGTCCCAGGCCAGCCGGTATCCCACACATTGTTTGTTCTAACATAACACTTTTTCGCGAAACCCTTGCAAACAAACGTGACGAAGTGCACACGCGCGTGTCGTCGCGCGCGCAAGCCGGAATCCTTCAAAAACCTTCGGTGCCGGAAGGATTTCGCAATCGAGTTTCCAAAAAGACATACACAAACACAAAGTTTCGCAACACTGATTTGCAAAAAAAAAAAAAAAAACTTCCGCGTGAGCTCTTGCGAAATCTTAAGAAAACCATTGTTTTTTTCAATATTTTCACAACATGCTACCAAACGGGCTTCGCGCGCGCGCATGTCGAAATCTGTCGAACGCCCTTGCGCGTGTGCCGTCGCGAGAATCCTCTGCAAAAAACGGGACGAAGTGCAGACGCGCGCGTCGTCGCGCGCGCATGCTGAAATCCTTCAAAAACCATCGGTTTCGGAAGGACTTCAAAATCGTGTGTCCAAAAAACCTTACAAAAACACAAGGTTTCGCAACACGGATTTTCAACAAAAGCGAGCCCGCGCGCTATTGCGTCGTCGTCGTCGTGGTCGTCGCCGTCCTCCCTCCTCCCGCGTCGTCGTCGTCGTCTTCGCCTACGTCGTCCTCTGTCTTTCCTCGTGTTCGTCGTCGTCCTCTTTGGCGTCGTGGTCGTTTCCGTCGTCATTGTCGCCGTGGTCGTCCTTCCTCCTCCTCCCTCGTCGTCGTCGTCGTCCGTCGTCGGCGTCTCGTCGTCGTCCCTCCTATTTCGCCACCGTCGTCGTCGTCGTCGTCGTCGTTGTCGTCGTCGTCTTCTTCCCTCCTCCCTCGTCGTTGTCGTCGTCGGCGAGGCCGTCCTTCCTCTTTCTTCGTCGTTCGCGTCGTCGCCGTCTTCCTCCTCCCTCGTCGTCGTCGTCGTTGTCGTCGTTGTCGCCGTCGTCGTCCTCCCTCCTCCCTCGTCGTCGTCTGCGTTGGCGACGTCGTCGTCGTCGTCGTCGGCGTCGTCGTCGTCTTCGTCGTCGTCGACGTCGGCGTCATCGTCGCCGCCGTCGTTCGTCGTCGTCGTCGTCGGCGTCGTTGACGTCGTCGTCGTCGTCGGTGTCGTCGTTGTCGTCGTCGGCGTCGTCATCGTCGTCGTAGTCGTTGTCATCGTCGTCGTCGTCGTCGGCATCGGCGTCGTCGTCGTCGACGTCGGTGTCATCGTCGTCGTCGTCGGAGTCGTCGAAGTCGTTGGAGACGTCGTCGGTGTCGTCGTAGTCGTTGTCGGCGTCGTCGTCGTCGTCGTCGTTGTCGCTGTCGTCGTCGGCGTCGCTGTCGTTGCCAAGTGCCATTTGGTACCCACCGTCACGGTCTTAAGAGATTTTGCAAACCAAGTTGCGGGTGGGTGGGTGGGACGAATGCGCGAGCAGCGGAGTTGACAACTTCAAGTTCGGCAAATAAATTCTCCTTTCTTAAAACAGAATAGGATCTACCCCCCCTGCGTTATCACTCCCCCTTTCGGGTATGTAAATCATACATGATTATGACCACATGTCCATCCTAAATATGAAATGACAATGTCCCAGGCCAACTGGTATCCCCCCCTCAGGGCCCCTTGTAAAAAAACACTATGCGGTGACATTTTTTGTTCTAACATAGCACTTGTTCCCGAGTCCCTTGCCAAACGAACGTGACGAAATGCACACGCGCGCGTCGTCGCACGCGCATGCCGGAATCCTTCAAAAACCTTCGGTGCCGGAAGGATTTCGCAATCGAGTTTCCCAAAAAACATACAAAAACACACAATTTCGCAACACTGATTTGCTAAAAAAGAACTTCCGCGTGAGCTCTTGCGAAATCGTGAGAAAACCATAGGTTTTTTTCAATATTTTCACAAAATGCTACCAAACGGGCTTCGCGCGCATGTCGAAATCTGTCGAACGCCCTTGCGCGTGTGCCGTCGCGAGAATCCTCTGCAAAAAAACGGGACGAAGCGCACACGCGCGCGTCGTCGCGCGCGTATGCTGAAATCCTTCAAAAACCATCGGTTTCGGAAGGACTTCAAAATCGTGTGTCCAAAAAACCTTACAAAAAACACAAGGTTTCGCAACACGGATTTTCAACAAAAGCGAGCGCGCGCGCTCTTGCGTCGTCGTCGTCGTCGCCGTCCTCCCTCCTCCCGAATCGTCGTCGTCGCCTACGTCGTCCTCTTTGGCGTCGTGGTCGTTTCCGTCGTCGTTGTTGCCGTGGTCGTCCTTCCTCCTCCTCCCTCGTCGTCGTCGTCGTCCGTCGTCGGCGTCTCGTCGTCGTCCCTCCTATTTCGTCACCGTCGTCGTCGTCGACGTTGTCGTCGTCGTCTTCCCTCCTCCCTCGTCGTTGTCGTCGTCGGCGCCGCCGATCCTTCCTCCTTCTTCGTCGGTCGCGTCGTCGCCGTCCTCCCTCCTCCCTCGTCGTTGTCGTCGTTGTCGTCGTTGTCGCCGTCGTCGTCCTTCCTCCTTCCTCGTCGTCGTCTTCGTTGGCGACGTCGTCGTCGTCTTCGTCGTCGTCGGCGTCGGCGTCGTTGTGGTCGTCGAAGTCGTCGGAAACGTCGTCGGTGTCGTCGTAGTCGCCGTCGTCGTCGTCGTCGTCGTCGGCGTCGTTGACGTCGTCATCTTCGTCGTCGTCGGTGTCGTCGCTGTCGTCGTCGAAGTCGTTGGAGACGTCGTCGGTGTCGTCGTAGTCGGTGTCGGCGGCGCCGTCGTCGTCGTTGTCGCTGTCGTCGTCGGCGTCGTGGCCAAGTGCCATGTGGTACGTACCGTCACGGTCTTGTCTTAAGAGGTCTTGCGACCAAGTTGCGGGTGGGAGGGTGGGATGTTTGCACGAGCAGTGGAGAGGACAGCTTCAAGACGGTCAAAGATTAATTGCAACACTTAGCTTGTACCACATATATTGCACCACGTTGCTCACGCCACATACATTGCACCGCGCATAGTACACAACCTATACAACATTTTCTGTAAAGAACTATACCCCCCAGGGACTATCCGTTGCCATTTTCGCATTGCAACGTACGCAAGTAATGCCCCATCGTCCATCAGAAAATATGAATTCAAATCATCCCAACCAAGCTGGTAGCGGCCCCCGCCATCCTCGGTAAAAAACGGTCTGCGCGCGCATTCGTTGATCACAAAGTATCGGTTTTCAAAAATCTTTTGCAAAAAAATTGCGACATGTACGCGAGCGGCTCGTCGCGCGCATGCCGAACTACCTCGAAAAACTTCGATATTGTAAAGGTTGCACAATCGAATGTCTAATATATATATATATATATATATATATATATATATTTATATATGTATATATATGTATGTGTGTATATATATATACATATGTATATATAATAATAATACAGGGGTGCGCAGCACCGCCTTTTTGAAAGCTTGCGCTCGCGCTTTTGCAAATTCTTCAAAAATGTTTCGTGCTTCTTTTATATCTAAACCTTGATTCCCATAAGATGCTACCATACGGGCTCCGCGCACGCATGCCGCAATCGTTCGAACATCCTTGCGCGCGTGCCGTCGCGGGAAAACTTTGCAACACATGAGACGAAGTGCGCGCGCGCGTCGTCACGCGCGCATGCCGATATCCGTTACAAACCTTTTAGTCCCGTAAGAACGTCAAACTCAAGTGCCCAAAAAAACATTGAACACACACATGGTTTCGCAACGTCAGTTTTCAAAAAAGCGTGCGCTCGCATTCTTGCGAATCATTAAGAAAACCATCGGCTTTCAACATTGTCATGGCATTCTGCCAAAGCGGGCCTTTGGTGCCGCGTGCCGGAATCACTCGCACGCCCTAGCGCGTGCTGGGGGGGCGCGATCCGCGTCAATCATACCATGCGGGCCACTCTCGTGCGTCGGCCGCGCGCGCGTGTCGAACTCTCCCAAACCTTCATCGCCGACGCGAGGACACCGTCATTGTCGTCGGCGTGATCAGCATGGGCGCCCGCACTGGCTGCGCCGTCGTCGTACCAGCATCGCTACTATCATCGTTGTCGACGTTGCCACGATACCGTGCCCGCCCAAGCCGCCGACTCGTAGTAAATTGCCAGCTGGGATGTGCCCAATGGTCACCGCCACCGCGGCCGCGTCGGTCGCGCCAAACTAGCCGGCCGTTGCGCGCGCGTGCTTGGGTTGGCGCGGCCGCAGAAATGCACCAGCCGACGCCAAGCACTCATCGCAAGCGCCACCGCATGGGTTTTGAAAACCAAGTTGCGGGTGGGTTTGTGCGGTGTTTGCAAGAGCATGGTATGTGTCAACTCTCTTGTAAAAGTCAATAACGCCATGTAAATTACAGCACGTAGCCTCACCATGTGTAAATTCTCCTGCCCCCCGCAAAAAAAAAACAAATAGGTTCTACCACCCTCCCCCACGGACTTAAAGACCCCCCAGCCCGATGCAAAAAGCATGTCCATCCTCCCTGTGAATTCATGCTATCCCAGCCAAGCCGGTATCGACCCCCCCTCGGTTCCCTGGGAAAATATACGATGCGCGCGCATCAAGAATCATAAGTTTTCAAGAATCCCTTGCATCAAATGAAACGCAGTGGGCACTTGCGCGTCGTCCTGCGCGCATACCGAAATCCTTCAAAAACCTTCGGCTTCGGACGGGTTTCACAGTGTCCAAACAACATATAAAGCACACAGGGTTTCGCAACACTGATAAAAAGAAAAAAAACACGCGCGCTCGTGCGAAATCTTAAGAAACCTTGGGTTATTTTTTTTCAAAATTTCCCTACTACCACACGGGCGTCGCGCTCGCATTTCGAAATCGTTCGAACGCCCTTGCGCGCGTGCCGTCGCGAGAACCCGTTGCAAAAAAACACAAAATACACGCGCGAGCGCGTCGTCGCGCGCGCATGCCAAATCTTTCCGAAACCTTCGGTTTCGGGAGGATCTCAAAATCGAATGTCCAAATCACATGCAAAAACATACGGTTTCGCAACACGGATTTTCAACAAAAGCGTGCGCGCGCGCTCTTGCGTCGTCGTCGTCGTCGTCGTCGCCGTCCTCCCTCCTCCCTCGTCGTCGTCGTCGTCGCCGTCGTCGTCCTTTGTCTTTCCTCGTCGTCGTCGTCCTCTTTGGCGTCATCGTCGTCTCCGTGGTCGTTGTCGCCGTGGTCGTCCTTCCTCCTACCTCGTCGTCGTCGTCGTCGTCCGTCGTCGGCGGCTCGTCGTGGTCCCTTCTATTTCGTCGCCGTCGGCGTCGTCGTCGTCGTCGGCGTCCTCTGTCTTTCCTCGTCGCCGTCGTCCTCTTTGGCGTCGTCGTCGTTTCTGTCGTCGTTGTCGCCGTGGTCGTCCTTCCTCCTACCTCGTCGTCGTCGTCGACCGTCGTCGGCGTCGTCGTCCCTTCTACTTCGTCGCCGTCGTCGTCGTCGTCGTCGTCGTCGTCTTCCCTCCTCCCTCGTCGTTGTCGTCGTCGGCGTCGCCGTCCTCCCTCCTTCGTCGTTCGCGTCGTCGCCGTCCTCCCTCCTCACTCGTCGTTGTCGTCGTCGTCGTCGCCGTCGTGGTCCTACCTCCTCCCTCGTCGTCGTTTTCGTTGGCGACGTCGTCGTCTTCGTCGTCGTCGTCTTCGTCGTCGTCGTCATCTGCGTGTTCGTCGTCGGCGTCGTCGTCGTCGACATCGACGTCGTCGTCGTCCTCGTTGTCGGCGTCGTCGTCGCCGTCGTCGTCGTCGGCGTCGTCATCGTCGGCGTCGTCATCGTCGTCGTCGTCGAAGTCGTCGTCGTCGGTGTCGCCGTCGTCGTCGTGGTCGTCGTCGTTGTCGTCGTCGTCGAAGTCGTCGGAGACGTCGTCGGTGTCGTCGTAGTCGTCGTGGGCGTCGTCGTCGTTGTCGCTGTCGTCGTCGGCGTCACTGTCGTTACCAAGTGCCATTTGGTACCCACCGTCACGGTCTTAAGACGTCGTGCGACCAAGTTGCGGGTGGGGGGATGGGATGTTTGCACGAGCAGTGGAGAGGACAGCTTCAAGACAGTCAAGGTGAATTGCACCACATAGGTCGCGCCACATGTATTGCGCCGCATACCTTGCGCCGAATAACTTGCATCACATATACTGCAATGGCACTACATAGTATGCACCACCTAGATTGCAACATGTACTATACTAGAACAAACTGTTTGGGGCCCACGAAGGCTAACATCTAAACTTGTGGTCTGCACTGGAATCTGTGTTAGGGGGGCGCTTTTCGCCCCCCCGCTCCCAGGAGGCCCAGGAGGCCCCAGGAGGCATTTACTAAATGTGCTCAGGCAGCTTGAGCTTAAGATCCAGATCAGTTCGGTCAGGACTCAGATGCAAAGGAGGACTCGAAACGCATCGCTATGGAGCACAATCGCGGCAGGGCACATCGCAGTTCAGCACGGCGCGGCACAGCACAGCCCTCGGCACGGTACATCAAGATCGATAAGTTCAGCATTGCATTTGCCCGTCGCCCAATCAAGTGTCTTCGAAACGTTGCCATGACTTACATTTCTCGATTCCCTTCTGGGTTCGTGGGACGATCATGTGAACAAGTACCCACTTCTGTATTGAGATGCGTGCGCTCATAGATGAGACAACCCGTCGGCCTGCACGTACGGGTCTTGCGCCACCAGCAGCGCGACGTCTATGGCCCCCGTGCCGGGCCCGTCGGAGTAGCCCGCGTAGAAGCCGGCGGCCGCCGCAGCGGTGACGGCACCCGCGGCGGCGAGCTCCTCCGGGTGGAACGGCTCGACCCACTCGTCGCCTGGTCTGGGCGGCCGCCCGCCCTCCAGGCGCGCAGCTCTGGCCTGACCGATCCCCCTGCACCTCCCGCACCTCCCGACCCCCTCTGCGCCTCGATCGCCCGCACCTCCCGCCCCGTTCCTCTCCCGGTCTGCCCCCCCCCTCCGCCTCTGCGCCCCGATCGCTCGCACGGCCCATGGCCGCCCGCGATGCCGCCCCCCGCGCTCGGCGGCGGGCGCCAGCCCGCGGCAGACGCGCAAGCCGCAAGACGACCACGACGGCAGCGACGACGACGACGAGGACGGCCACGAGGACGACGACCAGGACTCCGACGCCGACGAGGGCGACGGTGCAGATCCGAGGCAGCGGCTGTCTGCGCAGCCACCTCCGTTCAGCGTCGCGCGGGCGCGGTCCAGCAGCACCCGCAGAGCCGACTTCTCCTCCGCGCCCAGCGCGTCAGCCTGGGGGCCCTCCAGCAGTGCCGACAGCTTCGAGATGTTCGGGGGTTGCTCAAGGTGCCCCTGGCCCAAGGTGCCCCCAGCTTTTCGCTCCATTTTGGGGCCCCTTGGGCCCCCCTGGGCCTCGTGAGGGGTCTTCTGGACGCCGTGGGGGCCTCCTTGGAAATCCTGGGGGCACCCTGGGCCAGGGGCACTTCTGGCAACCCCCGAGATGTGCACCTGCACGGGCCCCCGGCACACTGGGCACGTCGGCGCCGCGCCCCGGGCGGTGCAGGCGCCGATCCACCCCCCGAGGCACCCCTTGTGGAAGTAGTGGTGCCTCCCCGCCGCCCCCGCGCAGCGCATCGCCGCCGCGCCTGGGGGCACGCTTTCCTGCGGAGGAAAAACAACAATGGCAGTAGGAGCTCGACCACAAGACACCTTCCACAAGAAGAACGTCATGCTTCCCATAGCAATATTACCGAAACCCAGGAAACCTAGGGCACCCTGGAAGCAAGCAGCGTGTTTCTTGGAATGGGTTTCCACCGTGTTGCGCCGCAGCACGGCAAAAGCGATCCGCACGAGCGCTCGATTCGTCGGGGACACGCGACAGACGAACTGTCCGGCTGCAAAAGAAGGCGCCAAGGGGGGAGAAGCGGCCGCAGAGGACAAAAAGAGGAAGAACCACCAGCTGCACACAGCCAGAATCTACGGTAAGGACGGGCGGCAAGGATGCCAGGGCCTTGACGCCGCGTGCCCCTGGGCGCATGGCAATAGTGGCGTTCCGTTAAGCGGGTTATGCTTGTTGTGTTGCTGCGTTGGCGTCGCCCTCTCTGGCGACCCACCCGCGATCAACCACGCGCCCGCCCCCTCGCTAAGAATGACAACCATCGTGCTGGAAGGGGCTGGGAAGATACAGGGCACGACTGTGGACTGCACACCTTCAACATACGCGGTAAGATTGATGATGTGATCATTCCTCCCAGTCCCATCCATCCCCTCAACCCGACAATTGTCTCCTGACTCACCCTTCTCCGCAACTGCGGGGAAGCAGGAAGCCGGAAGCCGGAAGCGCTGCGGGGGGGCGCCCCGCGCCCGTGCCTGGGAAAGCGTCGGGTTTGCTGGCCTCCTGGAAGAAAAACCTAATCTTGCCAGCGCGCCCGGTCAAACGGACACAATCAGGGTTCCAGTCGGCCCCTCTCTTCGACCATCGTCCGTCGCCGCACTGGTCGATCTCCCAGAGCCGCGCAAACTTTCAGAGCTCGGGCGCGGAACTCTTCCCCGGACCAGCGCTGGACCCTCCTCCCCCCCCGGCCGCCAGCGCGTCGAAGGCGCCGCCCAGGGGGACCAGGCGCCAAGCCGAGAACGCCGCGCGCAGGTCCGACAGCAGGCCTGTGCTTATGCCGCCCAGGCGCTGATCCAAGAGGTCCCCGCAGCGCGCTCCGAAATGTGGTGGACATGGGGGTTGGGCTTCCTCGAGCTCCCTGGCACATGGGGCACTCGGGCGATATCACTCGCACCTCAAATAAGACATGATCGGCCGATGAACCTGGAAACGTATGTGTCTTTTTTTTTTCTCTCTCTCTCTCTCTCTCTCTCTCTCTCTCTCTCTCTCTCTATATATATATATGTCTATACATACTAGAACCATCGCGCGCGCTTCGCGCGCGCTCAGGTTCTAGCAGGCCCCAGGCCTTGACGAGTTGACTGCTTCACTGACGTAGTGGGCAACGGATGGTTTGAACAGGAAGTCAAGAAGTGTACATAGCGCTGAACGCATTATGGGCAGTGAGAAATCCATGCATGTAAATCCGCATTCCAGAAGGCTTTCGGGGAAGATGGTTGCGTAGAGGGCTGATGAATCGGGTTCCTAGAAGGCCTTCTGGGAACATGGGTTTCGGGGGCGTCTTGGGGAGCCTGTTGGAACGCGCCGTCGTCGTCGTCGACGTCGTCGCCGTCGTCGTCGTCGTCGTCGTCGTCGTCGCCACCTCTTGGGGCGCGCCGTCGTCGTCGTCGTCGTTGTCGTCGTCGTCGTCGTCGTCGTCGTCGTCGTCGTCGTCGTCGTCGCCGTGGTCGTCGTCGTCGTCGTGGTCGTCGTCGTCGTCGTCTTCGTCGTCGTCTTCGTCGTTTCGTCGTCTTCGTAGTCTCCAGTTCAAGTGGGCACTTGGGGCAACCTTGTGCGAAACGATCCGCGGAGGGCCTCGAGAAGGCGATCAGTCATGTTCCCAATCAACTTCTCAAACAACTCTCCTGTAGCGTGATGGTACTTCCGAGCCTCCGGAGACTCTCGGGCCCATGATGAACCATGTCCCCGGAAGGCTTTCTGGGGACATGATTTGTTGGGGTGTGTTGGGGGGCCTCTTGGGCGTTCCCTGGGGGCCTTTTAGGGCTTCCTGGGGTCTCTCGGGGGCCTCACGGGGCTTCTTGGGAGCCTCTTGGTGGCCGCCGGGGGCCTACTGGGGGCCTCTAGGGCCAGAGACCTCGAACTATTGGTTCGCGGTTCTTCTCTGGGTCCCCTCTTGGGGCGCTCTTGGGTTGTCAAGTTGTCTGGGAAATCTCCTGGGCCGTCTTGGGCCCTCTTCGGTGCCTCGTGGGCAATCTTGGAACGATCTGAAGGGCCTCGGCTGTTTTGGGCGGTCTTGGGGGCCTTTCGGGCCGTGTTGGGACCCTCTTGGGTCGTCTTGGAGCCCTCTTGGGAACCTCTTGTGCAATCTTGGGGGCCTCTTGGGCCGTCTTGGACGCTGTGAAAGCCGAAGAGGTACATATGCGAAACATATACGTTTCCCTATGGGAATGGAACGAACGTTGCCTCTTGGGGCCCTCCTGGGGGGCCTCTGGGAGCTTCTTGGGGCGTCTGGGAGGCCTCTTGGCGTGGGGCCCCGGTGCGCCGCTATATGTATATATATATAGAAAAAGGAAAGAAAGAGAGAGAGAGAGAGAGAGAGAGAGAAAAAACAAAAAACTGTGAATCGTGGGAACGGATCTAAGACACAAAACGTGAGCGACGGGCAATTGCAATGCTGAAAGTATCGATGGTGACGTACCATGCCAAGTGCGAACTTAACTGTAGCATGCCGCGTTGAGCTGGATGCTACTCTGTTGCGATGTGGATATTGTCATACTTGACATCCGAGTCCTGACCGAACTGATAGCATATTAAGATCGAGCTGCCAGAAAGCTAAGCTGACCAAGAGGTGGTTTCAATCGAGGCGCGTGGACCGCTCAACCAGCGCGAACTCCAAATCAAATTCAATTCCGACACGACACGAACCACCAATTGCAATGCTGATAAACACCGATGATGATGCACCGTGCCAACGGCCTATGCTGTGCTGGGCTGTGTTGAACTGAATTATACTATGCAGCATAAATTTGGATTATGCAATATTTCGTTGTGGATCTGGTCATCCTCGACATGCGATTCCTGACCGAACTGATCTGCGTCTGAAGGTCGAGCTGCCTGGACGCATAACTGACCAGCTCACCCAGAAATGGTCGCAGTGGAAGCGCGCGGACAGCTCACCAGCGCGGATCAAGATCCGATTCGATTCCAACACGACGCGAACCCACCATGGCAACGCTGATAATATCAATGGTCATTCACCGTGTCAGGGGCTACGCTGCGTTTGGCCGTGCTGAAAGTAAATGCATCACTAGAACCATTGCGCGCGCTTCGCGCGCGCTTTGGTTCTAGCCGAGATCGCGGCAAGGCCCTGGCAGAAGTATTAAGGCAGCCCTTTTCTTATGTGTATATATACATAGATCTGTCCGTCTTTCTCCTCCTCCTCCTCCTCCTCCTTCTCCTTCTCCTTCTTCTCTTTTTCCTCCTCCTTCGTCCTCTTCCTCCCCCTCCTCCTCGCCTGTCTCCTTCCTCCGTTTCCTTGGTTCCCTTCCTTCTCCTCCACCACCTCCTCCTCCCTCATTTGCTCCTGCTCCTCCTACACGTTCTTCTCCTCCTCCTTTCCCTCCCCTCCTTGTCCCCCCCCCTCGTCCTCCTCCTCAATATCCTCTGCCCTTCCTCCTGCCCCCCCCCCTTCCCTGGCGCGGGCGCCCCCCGGTCTGGGCGCCCCCCCCGGCCCGGATACCCCTGGGAACCGCTGGCCCCACGACCCTTGAAGTCGGCCCCAGGAGTCCTCCGAATCCTTCGGCCCCTGGGCGCCCCTGACCTCTAGGGTCGAAGATCCTCAATCGCGGCCCCACGACCCATCGGCTTCCGAGACTCTTCGGCCCCGCGACCCACGGAGTGACGAGGAGGGACACACGGCAGAAGCAAGGGTGAGAGAGGGGGAAGTCGAGGGGGAGCAGGAGGAGGCGGAGGAAGAAGAGGGAGAGGAACAGGAATAGGAGGAAGAGCCGCCAGAGGAGGAGGATCAGAGGAAGGAGGAGGAGGGGGAAGGGCCGCCAAGGAGGGATCAGGCGCTCGAGCAAGGGGATGGGACCGATGTTCCCGGGAGTCTTCCTGGGAACATCTTGCGCAACAGGAGGAGGAGGAGGAGGAGGAGGAGGAGGAGGGGCCCGAGAAGGAAGAGGAGGGGGGCGAGAAGGAGGATCGCATCGGCGAGGTGGAGAAAGGGAAGCACGCGGAATTATATTCCCGGGGGGCTTCCCGATAACATATTTCGTGACAGCAGGGGGGGGGGGCCCGAGAAGGAGGAGGAGGATAACAGGAACGAGGAGGAGGGCTAGAACAGGAGAAAATCTCGAAAAGGAGGAGGAGGAGGAGGAGAAAGAGGAAGGGGTGGAGGAAGAGGAGGGGGAGGAGCAGGAGGATGAGAAGGACGAGGAGGACAGACACGCAGGACAAGGGGAGCGGCAGGAAGAGGAGGAGGAGCAGGACGAGCAGGACATAAGGAGTAGGCGGAAGGGAAGGTGGGTGAGGAGGAGAAGAAGGGGAGCGGGAGGAAGGGAGGTTCAGGGGGAACAGGAGGAGGTAGAAGAAGGACAGGGGGAGGTGCAAGAGTAGCATGAAGAGCAGCCGCAGCAGGAGGAGGACATGGGAAGAAAGACGAAGGGGCAGGGTGGCGAAGAACAAAAGAAACACTCGAACGCAAGCAAAGAAATTATGTTTCCGGCAGGCGTTCCGGGAACATATTTCGAGAGACCGGGAGAGAGCTCCACAAGCAGGGGGGTGAGAAGGAGCAGAAGGGGAGCGGGAGGATGGGGAAGGGGGAGGTGCGGGAGTAGCATGAAGAGCAGCCACAGCAGGCGGAGGATCAGGGACTGACGATGGAGCAGGGCGGCGAAGAACAACAAATAATTCTCGAACAATGCATTTCCTGGCAGTTCCGGGAATATACTTATATGTCGCGTTAAGTTGTATTATACTCTGTTGCGTTTGTAGATATCGTCGTCCTTGACACCCGATTTCTGACCGAACTGGTGTGAATATTGAGCTCGAACTGCCTGAACGAATTAGTCGTCCACAAGTCGTTGCAACAAACTTTCGCTTGATACATCTTCCCATTCTGCAAAACAAGCATTTCGCCTGAGACAGCCTCAACACAAGTTGCAAAGCAAGTGTCTCGCTCGAGACACCCTCAACCATTAATTCGCCGCCCATACTCATCAAATAATGCTTCCCACGGTCATGGGAAACTGAGTGCTTCCTACGGCCAATTTGCCCTCCTCGAGCTCCTGACAGAGGGGCGCTCGGGCGAGTCCAGCGGGCCGCTGCAGGCGGCCGACCCACCCGCGACCCAACCCGCGACCCACCCCGCGACCCAACCGCGACCCAACCGCGACCCACCCTGCGCCCGACTCTTCACTCTTACCCGCACTTGCGGAAAGTTGCCTAATACAATAGAGGCTCGACCACAAGAAACCTTCCACAAGGAACCCAACCCTGACCCCAGGACGTCCATTGATTTCTGGCGTGGCAACGTCGCACACTCCATAGCAAAGCCCTCGAAAACCAAGCAACCCAGGGAACCCTGGAGGCAAGCAGGGTGTTTCCTGGCATGGGTCTCCACTGTAATAACAGCAAATATCCGATGTCGTGTTTTTTTCAATACGGGGTCCCCTGAAGGGTTGACCCATTCACCAGGACCGGTTTTTCATCCTGAGTCGTTTTGTAACGGTCCTGGGGCCCGGTGAGGGCCCCTAGAGGCCGAAAACTGCGAAAAACGTCCGTCTTGATTTTTGTAATACGTTGATCTCTGGGACTTTTCCTCCTCGAGCTCCTGGCAGATGGGGCACTCGGGCGCGTCCAGCGGGCCGCTGCAGGCCGCCGAGGCCTCCTCCGGCACTGGCGCCGCCGCGCCGGCGGGCCCGGCGGAGCTCGGGCAGCCGCGGCTCCGGTGCCGCGGTCGGCCCGACCCCCCGAATCGGCATGCAATTGGAGGCGCATCAGAATCAGATCAGGGGGACGTAAGACCTGGGTACAGGGGACTCGGAAATCCCCGACGAGATCGTCAAAAAAATGACGAGGCCGAGCCTGCATTTTGACGAGGCCTCCCGCTGCAGACATCCCACGAAACTCCTCGTCGTCAAAATCCGAGGCGCGGTCGTCAAAAAACGATGGCGAACCCGAGTCCTGGCAAACCCGGGTCTTACGCTCCCCCGATAAGAAGAGGCGGCAGGAAATCTGGGGAGATATCTCATGGCCCACGCCATGAGATCCACCCCCCCCAGTCATAACCCCCCGCTTGGCCGCCCGACCCACCGCATGCGAGGGGGCTCGAAGGAAGGGAGGAGCCGCGCCATAGACGGCGCATCGGCAGAGCAGGACAGACCACAAAAGGCCAGGGCAATTCATGCGGAGTCACTTCCGAGTTGAGTGCAAATGATGGGCTTGGTTTCCACCACCACTACCATAGGTTGGAGGGAGAGGTCCTCCTCCTCCTCTTCTTTCTCCTCCTCCTCCTTCTCCAACATATGGTAGTGCTGGTGGAAATCAGTCCCATCAGCAAAGGCGCCGGAACGCACCCAGTGTATATTTCAGCGATGGGCGGCGGTGGGAAGCACACCAGCACGGCGGCATGCAAGAGGGAGGGGGGAAGGGAAGGACGGGGGGAGGGAGGGAGAAGGGAGAAGGGGGAAAACTGAAAACTAGAGGTACCGATACCGCTACTCCCTGGACCTCTCCTGGGGTGCGTTCTGCCCAGGATTTCGAGGCAAAGCCAGCGGTGACGACGAGAGCCTCCCGGGAGGCCGGAAAAGGGGAAACGGGCGAAGGGTAGAGGGTAGAGGCATGGGTTTTCCTCCTCTGAGACCTGGGGGCGACCAAGCAGGCCTGCCGGAGCCCGACGGAGCCAGGACGAGGACAGCATCCGGTGGGGATAGATCGAGAATCTTTGAGATCTGGCGGGTCTGGAGGATGTCTCGGGCGCTGCGGTCTTCTCAGAGCGTTCGGGAACGCTCTGAGAGCGTTCTGGGACGCTCCAGAACGGATTTTATCCTCGTCCTAGCCCCGTCCGATGGAGCCCGCTTCCATGATTCGCGATAAAGCCTGAGACCGACCCCGCCCCCCCCCCCCCCTCAAGTCATGAGAACATCGTGTCGGCGGGCAATCTTGGTATTTTTAGGGTCTGGGGGCCCTGACTGGGCCTCGCGACCGTTTCAAACCGACTCAGGATGAAGAGCCAATCCCGGGGAATGGGACGAGACCTCTGGGGCGTCGACGTTATGAAAGAACATTATCGACCCACGAACCCGGAAAGGAATGTATCATGATAGGTATGGCAACATGTCAAAACACCCTGTTGGGCGACGGGCAACTGCAATGCTGAGAGTATCGATCTTGATGTACCGTGCCGAAGGCTGTGGTATGCTGCGCCGTGCTGAATTGCGATGTGCCATGCCGCGATTGTGCTCTATAGCACTGTGGATCGAATCATCCTTTGCATCCGAGTCCTGACCGAACTGATCTGGATCTTAAGCTCGAGCTGCCTGAGCACAAAGAAGCTGCAGCAGAGTTAATTGACAGGGGGACATGCCAGGAGGACGCGCCGCGGAACATCCCAAAGGTCGCGCCAAGCGACGTGCCAAGGAACGTGCCATGGGGACGCACCGCGGGACGTGCCAAGGGGACGCGCTACGGAACATGTTGGGACAAGCGCTTCGCTCGAGACATCCTGCCCAGATCCTCATGCTAGACATCCACCTGGCCGCCTGGGCGACCTGGACATGTGAAAACAAACAGTTTGCTCAACACATCCTCAGCACATCCTCGTGCTAGACATCCGCCTGGGCGACCTGGGCACGTGAAAACAAGTGGTTCGCTGGAGACATCCGCAACACATCGTCATGTTAGACGTCCACCTGCGTAACCTGGGCACGTGAAAACAAGCGTTTCGCTCGAGACGTTCTGAACAACTCCTCATGCCAGATATCCGCCTGGGCGACCTGGTCACCTGGAAGCAAACGTCTCGCTCGAGTCATCCTCAACACATATTCATGTTAGACATCCGCCTTGACGGCCTGGACACATGAAACCAAGCGTTTCGCTCAACACATCCTCTACACATCCTCATGCTCGACATCCACCTGGGCGACCTGGACACGCGAAAACAAGCGTTTCGCTCAACACAACCTCATGCTAGACATCCGTCTGGGTTCAGCGTGGATCCGAGAAATCCGCGCGGACCTCCGAATTTATATCTTTATGTCATGATTCGTTCCCCTATTCCGAGCCTTCTGAGAAGGCCCGCCCCTTCTCACTTCCCCCCCATCGCTCGCCGCCGACAGATAAGAAGGAGCCACTACCGAATCTTAACGTTTACGTCATTCTTCGTTTCCTGCTTTCTACCGAAAACCTCGAACCCCGCACCTCTTGCGTCGTCTGGGAATCGCCCCCCGCCGGGCAGTGACGTCTCCAAGCGAGCTGCCTTGCCGAGCCTGTGCGAGCGCACGTGTCCTCCAATTTTTGCACCTCCTCCAAAGAAACCCCCAAAGGACCGAGAATCTCGAACCTCGAACCCGAACAGAGCTCGCCCCCTCACCACGAGTGGGCATACAGAAGATCCAAGGGCTCGGGAAGCCTTCATACCCCAACAGGGGGAAGATGGAGGATGAATCGGAGGAGATGGAGGAGGACGCGGAGGAGGATGGGGGGGGGAAGAAACAGGGAGGAAGAGGGAGGAGGGAAAAGAAATTGGAAGAGGCGGATAAAGACGAGGTGGGCGAGCAGAAGGGCAAGGAGCCCCCGGCCCCCCCTGGTAAAACGCTGCCCCGGGCCGCTGGCCCTCGGGGTGGCGCGAGCCGACCGCAACTCTGGCAACGCCCCGCTGCGCACGGCCCCGGCGGCTCCTCCGGACGCCCGAGCTGGGCACGGGAAACGCTCGGGATCCACCAAACAGGGGGGTGACCCCGAGGGGGTGACCCCGAAAGGGGGGTGACCCTTTTTTTAATCATTATATATATATATATACATATTGAACATGATCGGCTCACAAACCCGGAAAGGAATATAGAAATGTGACGAGTGGTGACGTGTTCAAGACACCTGATTGGGCGACGGGCGCATGCAATGCTGAATGTATCGATCTTGATGTACCATGCCAAGGGCTAAACTGTGCTCTGCTGTGCTGAACTGCGACGTGCCATGCCGCGATTGTGCTCTACAGCTGTGTGGATCGAGTCCTCCTTGGCATTCGAGTCCTGACCGAATTGATCTGGATCTTAAGCTCGAGCTGCCTTGGCACATAATAGCTGCAGCAGGGCTAATTGACAGGGGGACATGCCAGGAGGACGCGCCGCGGAAAGTCCCAAGGGATGTGCCAGGCGACGTGCCAGGGGACGTGCCATGGGGACGCACCGCGGGAAGTGCTAAGGGGACGCGCTACGGAACGTGCCAATGGACGCGCCGCGGGACGTGCCAGGGGACTTGCCGCGCAACGTGCCAGGGGGACTCGCCACGTGACGCGCCACGGAACGTGCCAGGCTGCAATGCTGAATGTATCGACCTTGATGTACCGTGCCGAAAGCTCTGCTGTTGTGCACCATGCTGAACTGCGATGTGCCATGCCGCGATTGTGTTCTATAGCTTTGTGGATCGAGTCCTCCTTTGTATTCGAGTCCTGACCGAATTGATCTGGATCTTAAGCTCGAGCTGCCTTGGCACGTAGTAGCTGCCCCAGAGCTCTTGACAAGGGAACATGCCAGGAGGAAGCGCCGCGGAACGTCCCAAGGGACGCGCCAGGCGACGTGCCAAGGGACGTGCCATGGGGACGCACCGCGGGACTTGCAAAAAAAACACTACGGAACGTGCCAATGGACGTGCCGCGGGACGTGCCAGGGGACTCGCCGCGCAACGTGCCAGGGGGACTCGCCACGTGATGAGCAACGGAACGTGCCAGGGAACGTGCCAGGTTGCAATGCTGAGTGTATCGATCTTGATGTACTGTGCCAAGGGCTGTGCTGTTGTGCACCGTGCTGAACTGCGATGTGCCATGCCGCGATTGTGCTCTGTATCGTAGTGGATCGAGTCCTCCTTTGCATACGAGCCCTGACCGAACTGATCTGGATCCCAAGCTCGAGCTGCCTGAGCACACAATAGCTGCACCAGAGCTAATTGACAGGGGGACATGCCAGGAGGACGCGCAACGGACCGTCCCAAAGGACGCGCCAGGCGACGTGCCAGGGGACGTGCCATGGGGACGCACCGCGGGACGTCCCAAGGGGCGTTAGGAACCCATGTGATTCCACGCTTCTGTCAGGATCCCACGCGTTTTCACGCTTGTTCCGCCCCAGGGTGTTAGGAACCCGTGTGTTGTCACGTTTGTCCCACCCTGGGGCGTTAGGAACCCATGCTTTTTCACGCTTCCCCAGCCCTGGGGCGGACAACCATGTCAGATATCCCCCTGGGTGACCCGGACATTTAAAAACAATTGGTTCCAGCTCGGGACAACCATGTTAGATACCCCCCTGCGTGGCCTGGATACGCAGAATTCGCGCTTCCTCTCGAGACATCCTCGAAATGTCTTCCCTGGAGAGGCCCCCAAAGCGCCACACCTTGTCCAGAGCAAGAAAACATAACTTTCCTGTTTTGGGATATGTGTTCGGGTAACGCTTTTCAGCCCCCCGTGCGTTTCCTGTTAATGCGGCGTTGGGCCCGACGCCATGCTAGATACCCCCCTGGGCGGCCTGGACACATAAGAACACGTAGATCCAGTTCGGGACAATCATGCTGGATACCCCACTGGGTAGCCTGGACACGTAAAAAAATATGCCAGCGCGGGGCAACCATGCTAGATATACCCCTGAGTGGCCTGGACACGTTAAAACACGTGGTCCTTGCTCGGAACAACCATGTTAGATACCCTCTCTGGGTTGCCTGGACATGTAAAAACACATGGCGCCAGCACTGGGCAACCATGTTAGATACGCCCCTGGGTGGCCTGGACACGTTATAACGTGGTCCTTGCCCGGGACAACTATGTTAGATACGTCCCTGGGTGGCCTGGACACATAAAAACACGTGGTTCCTGGAAGTCCAAACCAAGCGTTTCGCTCGAGGCGTCCCCAACAAATTATCCCGAACGAGCGTTTCGTTCGAGACATCCGCAACAAACGAACATGCTTACTTTACCTTGTGTTTGATCGATCGGAATTTCAAAAAACCAGCGTTTCGCTAGGGACACCCTCAAACTTCAATTCCGCCAGTTCACCCTTTCATGGTTATTTTTCGCCGAGAAATTCCGCCCGCCACCCTCAGGTCGAAACCGGGGGTAAACAGCGAAAAGAGAACCCTGGGCTCAGTCCCTTTCTGGGGAGCCCCCAAAAAAATAATGCCAGTGCCCCCTGTCAGCAGCGGGAAGATCTGCAGGGCACTCGGAGGCTACTCCACTTGCCCAGCAGCGACGAGCCAGGCTCGGCCGAAAAGAGACAAGAGGACCAGCGCAGCGGAGGGGAGGCAGGAGGCCCCAGAGCCATCTCCCAGGAAGGGCGGATGCCCCGTGGCCGACTGCCTATCCCCCAGCGAAGGTGAGGTGACCCTGAGGGGGGGCATGAGTTCGATCCGCTGGTGCACCGAAATGCCGCAGACAGAAGCCTAAATCTCTAATCCTTATAATTATTAAACCCTAAAGCCTGCTAAACCGGCCGCTATGCATCCCGGCCTCCATCCCTTGCAAAAAATACTATTTCCTGATCATGCGATCAAAAAACATTATTTTTTACAATACATTGTGCCCGGCCCCGGTCGCAACGCCGGGCTTTCCATTACAAAAAATACTGTAGCATGATCATGCGATCAGAAAGCCGTATTTTTAACAATATAAAGTGCCCGGCCCCGGTTCGCGAACCCGTATGTAAACCGGAATTTTATATTGTTAAAAATTCTATAACCTTAACATTCTTCCTTTCAACATGCTCCGTCCTTTGCAAAAAATACTATATCCTCATCATTCCTCGTTTCCGATGTGCACTTTCCATTGGAACAAATATTATAAACTTAACATTCTGCTCTTGCAAGATGTGTCCATGTCAATAATCAATTGCAACAAATATTATATCCTGATCATTCTTCGTTTCTGATGTGCACTTTCCAATGTAAAAAACAATATAAGTATAGGCTTTATTTGTTTTGAGGGGAGCTTGGAAGTGTATACGATTCACAGTTCTACATTTGTCTCCATCTTGATGCATTGTGTTGTTTCGGCACGCTCTGGTGCTATGCGACAGCCACGCTAGAGGCTGCGGTTACTCAGATGTTGTGGAACTCGCCTTTGTGCTATATCTATGTTATGCTGGCATAGCATACGAGAGGCGTTGCATAGCAAAGCACGTTGAGGTCGGGCGAACCCTAGAGTGCGCCCGACCCGACCCGACCCGCTTGTTAGGGTTCACGCGTGTCAAGTGTACACGCACCATACTTTAATGTCCCGCCCGCCCGACCCGACCCGCCCTTCAGGGTCCGCCCGACCCGACCCGACCCGCCCGTTAGGGTCCGCCCGCCCGACCCGACCCGCTTGTTAGGGTTCACGCGTGTCAAGTGTACACGCACCATACTTGAATGTCCCGCCCTCCCGACCCGACCCGCCCGTTAGGATCCGCCCGACCTGACCCGACCCGCCCGTTAGGGTCCGCCCGCCCGACCCGACCCGACCCGCCCGTTGGGTCTCCCGCGCGCGCGCGCGGCCGCCGCCTCTTTGCTAAGCGCTTGCTCCCAGGCTTGCTATGGTATGCTATGCTATGCTACAACCACGGTATAACATGAGAGGAGAGATGATCTTTATGTGGGGGTGGAGATGCGGGGGGGATTGATAGCCACCGCAGGTGAGTGCCTATGCAGGTAGGTATTCCTGGCCTTGCCCTGTTAGACCCTAAACCCTAAACCCTAAACCCTAAACCGTGGGCGGGTGCCCCGTGGCCAACTGCCTATCCCCCAGCGAAGGTGGGGTGACCCTGAAGGGGGGCATGAGTTCGATCCGCTGGTGCACCGAACTGCGCAGACAGCTGCCCCCCGCATGCCCCAACTATCGGCAACGATCGGGAGCTGCCGGCGGCTGAGGGGCATCTGTTTGGGGCGGTTCGGTGCACAAACCGATCGAACTCACACACACACACAGGCACACCGGGGCACACACCCCTTTGGCGGGAATCTCGAAAAATGGGTACAGTGCCGAACAACTAATGTTGCCTAGAACCGACAGCGGCCGCTGTTGGCCAGGCGGCTGTCTGTCTCAAATGGATAACGCTGGCGGCGACACCGACAGCGAGCCCTGCTCAAACTGAAAAGGAACTGCTGTCGGTCTTCGAACCTTATGAAGACATTCCTGGAGGCCTCGCGCGGCAACTTGAGACCCGATTTACGTCGGATCCACGTCGAATGTACGTCGGGTTATGTCGGACGACGTCGGAATAACGTAGGATTTACGTCGCACCGACGCCAGATCCTGGCCACACGAGCGTCGACCCATACGGAGCTGACGCGTGGACTAGATGCTACATCTAGTACGCGCCGCGCGAGGCCTCCAGAATGTTCCTCCTAACGTTTCCATGTTGGTTGACCCAAAAAGGAGTCCAGCGACAAGGGGGTGGTGCAATAAATTTGGTGCAATGGATTTGTGCGATTGCAGAAAAGTTGGGGCGTGCAATACATTTCTGGTCGCAGATGTGTTGCTGGATTTTCGCGTGCGATACATGAATTGCAATACGATGCAACACAACTTTCTGGCGCAATACACGTGCAATACGATTGCCCCAAATTCTTTGCACCACCCCCTTTCAGCTGAACTTTTTCTTGGGCACCGAGGACCCATTGTTTCCATGGTCAGACACGCTACGTCCAGATTTTTTCAGGACGGCGTCCCCCGAAGTCCAGACCCTTTCCCTGTGGGGCAGGTTTTCATCCTGAGTCGTCTTTTCACGGTCCCGAGGCCCGACGAGGGCCCCCAAGGGCCGAACTGGGCCAAACACCTCCCGTCCTGATCTTTGTTCTGCGACGCGAGCGTGTCTGGGTTGCTTCCATACGCATTTCCATCGCGCCGAGCTCCGGCTCCGGCGGTGGCGGCGGTCGGCTCCGGCGCTTGGGCGCCGGCGAGTCCCGGCACACCGCCCGCACGGCGGGGAACGCGGCGGCGTCGGAGACCATGGGGCCCCGCGGGTGCCCGCGGGTGGCCGCGGCCAGGCTGGCGAGGCCGGGGCGTCGGCCGCGGCCTGAGCCAGCCAAGGTGCGGTCCCCAGACATGATCGCGTCGAAAAGGCATGACCGGCCCACGAACCCGGAAAGGAATACATGAATGTAAGGCATGGCGTCTGATTGGGCGCGACGGGCACATGAAATGCTCAATAGATCGATCTTGATGTACCGTGCCGAAGGCTGTGCTGTGCTGCGCAGTGGTGAACTGCGAGGTGCCATGCCGCGATTGTGCTCTATAGCGTTGTGGATCGAGTCCCCCTTTGCATCCGAGTCCTGACCGAACCGATCTCGATCTTGAGCTCGAGCTGCCTGGGCACATAGTAGCTGCCTCAAAGCTAATAGCTAATTGGCCGGGGGACATGCCAGAAGGACGCGCCGCGGAACGTTCCAAGGGACGCGCCGGGCGACGTGCCAGGTGACGTGCCACGGGGACGCAGCGCGGAGCCAAGGGGACGCACCACGGAACGTGCCAGGGAACGTGCCAAATTGCAATGCTGAGTGTATCGATCTTGATGCACCGTGCCGAAAGCTGTGCTGTTGTGCGCCATGCTGAACTGCGATGTGCCATGCCGCGAGTGTGCTCTATAGCGTTATGGATCGAGTCCCCCCTTGCATCCGAATCCTGACCGACATGATATGGATCTCAAGCTCGGACTGCCTGAGCACATACTAGCTGCCGCAGAGCTAATTGACAGGGGACATGCCAGAAGGACGCGCCGCGGAACGTCCCAAGGGACGCGCCAGGCGACGTGCCATGGGACGTGCCATAAGTACGCACCGCGGGACGTGCCAAGGGGCCGCGCCACGGAACGTGCAAATGGACGTGCCACGGGACGTGACAGGGGACACGCCGCGGGACGTGCCGTGGGGACTCGCCACGGGACGCACCACGGAACGTGCCAGTTTGCAATGATGAATGTAGCGATATGGAATGTACCGTGCCGAGGGCTGTGTTGTGCCTTAGCGACAGGGACACGAGAGAACAAGCGCTTCACTCAAGACATCCTCCACATATGTTCACGCTAGACATCCGCCTGGGCAACATGAACACGCGCAAACAAGCGCCTCGCTCTAGACATCCTCAACATATCCTCACGCTAGACATCTGACTGGGCAACCTGGACGCGTGAAACCAAGCGTCTCGCTCGAGACATCCTCAGGACCTGGGCACGTGAAAACGAGCACTTAACTTGGCAGATCCTATGAATCTGGCTTGGACTAGGGCGAGCTTTTGGGACTCAACTAACGCAATCGGTGTTCGATGGTTTTCACGATCATCGCCATCCTCATCATCATTGACAGCATCACCATCGTCATCGTCATACTCACCACATCGTTGCCTTATCCATCATCATCATCGTCATCGTCATCGCATCATCATCGTCATCACACACACGAACATCATATCCTCGCCGCCGTCGTCATGCAGGATCAAATGTTTTGACAAACGATGAATTGGGTGCAGGGCCTACTCGGTCAGGCCTGCCAGCGCGCGACACTTCGGAAATCACATCTGTCAAGTCAGGGAGCGCCACGGGGACGCCGGCCAAGTGCTGGGCCACGGCGCAGCCACGGCGCGGAGAAACTCCGCAGGGCCAGGCGCGGAGTCAAGCTTGCGCGCCCTCGGAGCGGAGCGCGGCGGCGATTTGCGCCCGCAGGTCGCCGGCGTCGTTTGTCTTCGCTGTTGCAGCAGATCCGTCGAAAGTGTGCTGGCACTCCTCGTGGTGGACTACGTCGTGGTTCTCGGCGAACAGCTTCCCCGCGTAGAAGGGCCCACGCTCTTGGAGGAGGGAGATTTGCTCATGACCTTCCACCTTCGCTGCCGCGGAGCGCGTGCCGAAGAGCGTCGCGGCCGCATGCGGCAAGGGGCAGCCGCCGTCTGCGTGCCAACCATCGCCCCGCGCGCCCGGTCTCATGAGCTGGATCGACGCGCGCAGGAACGCGTTCCCCGCGAAGACCTCCTTCAGGATGGCCCCCCCCGTTCGTCGTATAGATATATGACGGCGCACTGTCAAAACAAACCACATCGCGCATTCTGCCGCCCAACCTTTGCAGCCAATGGCGCCACTTAGCCCGCGGCGCCCGCGCGGAAGTGGCGAGGCGCTCCGACGGGGCCAGCTGCAAGTTCTCGCCCCTGCGCAAGGCGCGGCGCACATGGGGTTCTCTTCGCCGACGATGCTAGCGATCTCGGTTATGAGGCCCACTGCCGCCGCCTCCCCCCGAGCGCGGTGGGAACGGGCAACCCCCGTCTCCTGGCGGTCCTTGGCCGTGGTGTTCCAGCTGGGGCATGCCTGCAAAAAGCGGATCAAATGTGGTCCAAGGCCCCCCTCCGCTATCGCTTCGACGATGTTATTGCAAAGCTGCTTCGCCTGGCGGACGCGCAGCTTCACCTGGCCGGGCGACTGCAGGAAGCAGCGGGCTTTCGCTTCGGCAGCGCCCATTCTTGCGGACGGCAGCCACACCAACAACAGGTCGACGAGCTGGGCGAAACCTTTGGGGCAGCCGTCGGGGCAGGGAAGGGGGCCGCGCCCGCGCGGCTGCGCGCTCCGTCATCCGCGCCCGCTCTCTCTCGCTGCCTGGTGGCCCCGAGATCTTCGTCGCTGCGTCCGCGAAGTCTCTGCCGATCGTTGCGGAGATTAGCGGCTGGCGCGCGCGTAACCCCGCGATCGGACACCCGAAGGAGCACGTGTCCAGATCACCTTGAAATCGCTGGTCCCCCAGGGTGACGCCGGGGGGCTGTCGTGGGGCGTGCGCGCGCAGATCTCGTCGTCGCTGGCGCGCAGCTTCTTCTGCAACCTGGCGCGAGGGATCGCGATCTCCGCGCGGCCGAAATCGCCGGCGACCACCTGCTGAGAGAGGAGGCGGACGGAGGAGAGGGAGGCGACGACGACCTCCGGAGGGGGGAGAGAAAGTTTCAGCAGGCCGACGACCTCCAGCTCAACCATCATCTTGGATCTCGAGTTGAGTTCCCATCTTCGATCGCACTTTCAGCTCTAACATCCAATATTCGATCTCGATTTGAGCTCTAACATCTCAGGATCACGATTCGAGCTCAAACATGCAATGTTAGATCTCGGATTGAACTCTAACACCCCATAGTAGATCTCGGTTTGAGCTCTAACAACCCATCCTGGATCTCAATTTTGAGCTCTCGCATCCCATGATAGATCTCGATGTGAGATCTAACATCCCACGTTGGATCTAAATTGGGTCAGACTCGAGTGTGCTGACAGCCCATGTTAGAACTCGACTTGGGTGCTGTTGCAGCCCGGGTTCGGGCCTCGAAAGACCTCGGGATCTGGCACTCGAACTCCAGCCTGTTGCGGAGGGCCGGCGTCGCGGGGCCCCATTCACCAAGTTTCCGTTTTGTCTGCGGCTCATTATCGAAACAGCCGCGCAGCTGGATCGCCCCTCGCATGGGGATATTTGTTGTCTTGAGGTTGCTGCGAACGCAGTCTCTGTCGTGGATGAACTGCATCCTGTCGAAGATGCTGTTGCAGCAGTGACGCGTGCCGCCCTGCGTGAACCTGGATGTCTGAAGAAATCGGCTTACGTCGATCTCGCGGAGGTCGAACGCGAGGCCGATGTTGACCGATCTGCCGGAAGAGGCCCCCGTCGACTAACCGAACGACGTTCGGGTGCAAGCCCAACGCAACGCGTCGCCTACCTCATCATCAGCCGCTCCCGGGGCATCGGCATTGCACCCCTCAATCAGCCCGCCCTCCCGGGTGTCCCGCGGCATCTTGACGGCGCGGCCGCGCATGTCGCCGGCCCCCCGAGGAAAGCTTTTCGCACGGCGATATACCTTGCCACGAGTTCCGCGGCCGAGCTCCGCTGCCCACTTCCAAGGTGCAAGCGCGTTCCAGGTCCTCGCACTCGTTCAGGATCTCGGCGCCGTGCACCGCGGGGACCACCTCGAGCTTCAGCGAAAGCAGATCGGCACCGCCGCTGGCCTCAGCTGTTGCAGCGCTCGAGGCGACCGCAGCCGAAGTTGGCGCCCCGCGCGCGGGGCTGGGGGCGGCTCCGGCAGATGGCGCGGCAGATGGCGCAGGCGAAGCCGCCCCCCTCGGGGACTGCGGCGCCCGTGCGGCGGCAGAGATGGACCCGGCGAGTTCCTGCTCCGCGGCGAGGGCCGCGGCGTAGGTGGCAGAGCTGTTGCAGCTGGGGGCGCACGCGAGCGCCCGGTGGAACTTCGCGACAGTTCCGCCTCCACGGAACCCCTTGCTGGAGGTCGCGATCTTCTGGTCGGCACCCTTTTCGAAGGAGGTGCTCGCCCCGCCCCCGTCGGAGGCGAAGCGTGTCGAGCTTTGGCCGTCAACGGCAGAGGCCGCGGCAGAGGCCCATCAGGCGCCTTGATCTTCGCCGCTGGCCTGGCTCCCTGAGCAGAGGAGTCGCGCTGCCTCTTCGGACATCTGCCATCTCTTCGCGGCCCTATCGGGGGCGGCGGCGTCGTCGGCGCCCTCGCACCACGGACATCAACGTAGGCATTGTTCGTAGTTGTCGCCGACCCTGCTCCAGGCGCAGGACGAATTCCCGAGGCTGTTGCAGCGAGGGGATCACCGTAGCATGGCGCCACCGACGATGATGCAGAGACTGTTGCAGCCGCTGACCTTGCTGGAAAAGGCGAAGATGACCGCGCAGTCAGACCTGGCGACACTGGATCAGGAGCTCCTGCAGTCGTAGGAGCTGGTGCACCTGCGGGCCCCCGTGGTCGGTCACGACGAGGATAAGAAGCTGTCGCACCTACAGGCAGCCGAACTCCGTCCTGACAAGGATGAGAAGCTCTTGCAGCTGCGGGCCACCGAGGCTCGTCCTGCCTTGGATGGGCCCGCGGCTGGTTTGCCCGATGCCAGTCCTCTCCGACGTCTCCCAGACCCATGTTCCAGATGATCTCATCCTCGCTGAGGGGCCGCCGGGCCCGTGCGGATCGGAGCGCGCAACCATAACCGCGGCCGCCATGCGGGATGTCCCTATACATGCGATTCTCTTCGCCCAACTGCGCGCACTTGAAGTCGATCCACGGCGAGCGGCTGCGGGCTTCGTGAACTGCCGCAGTATCTGGA